CCGGATTCCCCCGTCAAGAGCACGGGGGAATCCGGGGATTGTGCTAGCAGGGCAGTGATGTATCACTGACGCAAGACTATAGTCTTGTGGCTGAATATGCAGGCTTCAGTCACTGATCGTCGTCTATGATCGAGGGTTCCGGGTTTTAAATAAGTTGATGAAGTAGGCCATGGCGCCATTATAGATAAGCGGTTAATTTCCGAATAGTCGAAAATTCGTTCCCCGTGTTTTTACGTTTACTTCTCGTTTTCACTTATCGACTTTCTATGTGACGTCCTGTCCATGTAAGCATTCTTTTAATTAGTTGAAGCTATCGTTTTATTTCCTCTGTTTATTAAAAAAACGAAAACAAATCTACGTAAATATATATGTGGATGCCGCCGGTCGTCTTTTACTAATATCTACTATATAACATCAATGAACGCCTAATATTAGGTCGAACAGCTCGCTTGTTGCATGAAACGGGATATCCGTTCTACGTACTAACAAAGGCTAAACTTATTTCGTCAGGACAAAATTCCTTCCACTATATTCCCCGTCGTACTTCAACATTAGTTCAAAATGAAGTGTGTGAATCATCTAACACGTCCATACATAAATGCACAAAATTTGGTACGATTCTGTATGGACGTGTTAGATAGTGGAACCTATTAATAAGTTCCGCTATCCGGCCGAGCCGTGCTTATCTTGAAACAAATGCGCCATGCCTATCACCACAGTATCATCGCATATAGAAAAGTATGTTTGATGAAAATATGATTGCCTTTCGAGAAATACTCTCCCTTCTTCCCTCCCCTCTCTCTAAAATAAAGAACAAAGTACCTGACAAATAGTGGCTACTCTTTCGATTAATTTGTATTGTTAGGCACAGGTAAGGCGGGTTTATTTCAGTGCCACTGTATACATTTCATGTCATGCATGACAGCACTCTTGGGGCAAAACTCATAATCGTCCACATTATTTTCGAAAATAAAAGCCCATGCTTATTTACAACAGACGGGGAAATTACACAATTGGATTTATAACAAAGCTTATGATCAATAACTGGTCGCCGATATCTTCAGAATGCAAATGTTAAAAAAGACAATTACTAACGAGGAAAAAACTTTGAGGGACGAGGGTCTGATCAGCTGGCAGACCAAATCGTAGTCACCGCTACGTAGGGTACTCAGTTTAACCACGTTCAAGTTTCGACGGCCAATACAGATTACTTGAGCTCGGTTTATTTGGGGCTTTCAACTTTCAACACGTTATCTGCGGCAATTGATGGACATATATCAAAAAAACGAGGAGAAGGAATGGGAAAATCCTAAAAA